ACATAAAAAGAAGGAAATCCTGCCATTTATGATGCCATGGGTGAACCTTGATGGCATTACACTAAGTGAAATAAGTCACACAGAGAAAAAATATTGTATGATCTCACTTACAAGTGGACTCTAAAAAAGCTGAATTCGCAGAAACAGAGAGCGGCATGGCAGTCGCCAGGGGCCAGAGACTAAGGGAAAAGGAGAGATGCTGGTCAAAGAGTAAAAACTTTCAGTAATAAAATGAATAAAGTTATAGCAATCGAATGTATAGAATCATGATTATAGTTAATAATAATGTATTATATACTTGAAAGTTACCAAGAGAACAATCATAAATGTTCTTGGCACAAAAAGAGAAATGGATACTATGTGATGATATGATGCAGGTGTTAGATGACAACAGGGTGGTGATCGTTTTGCAATGCGTAAGTGTATCGAATCAATATGTGCACCGTAAACTTACATAATTATATGTCGATTACAGCTCACGAAAGCTTGGGGGCATAATGAAGTTTTAAAGCATTCTTTCATTACAATTTAAAATTACTGAACAGCGTTCTGATCCAATCACCAAAGGCACAAAAAAGTCAGGACAATGGTCACAGATGGCAGTATCCGAACTGTATTGCAGATGAAATTTTGTCATTTCTAGAAAGTTCCCTCATGAATTATGGATGGGAAAGAATCCATTTCATTTGTTTTGTTTTGCTTATTTTACCTTTCTCTTACATGATTTCATCTAAAAAGGAAACAAAATGTATTATAGGTGCTAGAACTCATTCCAATTAACCAATAGTATTACTCAGAAATAATCAAATTCTTAACAACAGGCATTCAGGCACCTGAAATATAGGACACAGCTGTGACCAACATTCCAAAAAACCATGATGATCTCTGGAAGAAGGACCAGTTAAAAATCTGGGGTTCACCACTGTGAACTGAACTTTCTGAATCATTCACAAAATCATTTTGACCGTCCTTTTTATTCCTCAGATGAAAAGCCCTCGGAATAAGCATCACCTTAAAACCCACATGATTATTACATTAGTGATATTCAATAGAGCCAAGACTGGAATAACAAAATTCAAGAATAGGGTCTAAGGGGAATAAGTGGTAATGGAAAAATACAATAAAAAATAAACTATTAAAAGATTGTTTTTAAATCTGAGAACATCTGTCAGTCTGAGTTTCTGGAGCAGTTTTTCCTGTCAGAAAACTATATGCTCTAAACCTTCATCATTAACAGTTCTAAATGTAGACTGTGAAGGAATGTGTATCTGACTTTTGGCTTCGTGCTATATCTGAATGGAATAAAAGTCCCAACCCAAGCTTAACCAACAAGAAAATCCCTGCTGTCTGACGGAGGAAGACACAGCTTAGGAAGTTAATCAAACTAATCAATAAGAAATGTATCTGATATTTTTACTTTAAAAAATGATCACTTATATTTTTATTAATATGCTGAAAATAGTTGTCATAAGTAACATTTATGTGGCACTCAGAAGTTTGCTAAATGTTTTCACGTATGATACCACATTTACTGGCTACAGCAACCCCACTGGTATTTTTAATACTTAGATTAATAGGCAGATAAGGACTGAGGCTCTAACAGCCTTTGTAACTTTTCAAGATCAAACAGTGAAGACTTACTTTGTTTTAAAAAGTATTGATCCATCGCTGGGAATATGCATTTAGAAGTAAAGGAAGCTAACTTAGTGCTATGAGCTTCTATAGTAACAATAGTGTACTGCTGTACATTACAATGCACAAGGAATGAAAATGCTCAGCACTTTCTCAATATGCTGCTGATATTCACTAGTGCCATAAAATACCAGGACATATATCATTACTTTCACAGACACAGAGACTGAGGCTTAGAAAAATATAATGGCCTAAGCATAATCTCATTAAATAAGATTAATTCACTAGGCCACTCTGCCTCTTGAAATTGGAGCTGAAGGCACACAATTCTGGCTAGTGACTAATAGAATGGAAACTTATATCACCTGCATACATGATGTAATTAAAATAAAATAATTCATTATTTTTAAATTAAAGAAAGCTCCTCCTCCCCCAATAGGTAATGTCAAGCTCCGGAAAAGGGAGAGGTAAAAAATGCAAAGCATTTAGCTCTTTATGGTGCTGTGGGGGGATGGGAGGTTGTTTCACCGGTTTTGCTCTGCTTTCTTTAAAACATGCCCAAGGTAAGGCAGCAACTTTTTTGAAAATGCTAGCTAGAAATAATTAAATTGAGGGGGGCAAGATTAATCCACAAAATTAGTCCATTCTATATAATACTGGAAAAAATGTCTTAAGAGAAGAGTAAGTCTTTCCAACAGCAAAACTCACCAAATAAAACACTGGAAAATGTAATTCAATCGAGAAATAATATTTTTTTTCAATTTGGATTTATGTCATTGCTTTAGTAGGTAGTGTTAATGGTTTCCTAATGCCAATGTGTATTCATGAGCACTTTGCAAGTTCATGATGTAATGCATTCCTTTTTGGATATATCTTATGTCAAATCCATCTGTCTAGGGCAGACACACACGTTTTTACAAAACCTTATCTGCAAAAGTCCTTCCACAGCCAGACAAAATGGCTTCACAAAATAAAGGGAAATAGAGAAAAGAAAGATTAGCTGTTTTAAAGGTATTTCCTTCTCCCACAGTGCCTTCCCCCCAGCTCTCTGCCACCGGGCACCTGGTACCCCCCCCATTCTTGCTTTCCTTAATATCCTGCCCATTCACAAGAAAGAGATACAACTCTGGCATGTCAGGGAAAACTAAAAAGAGAAAGGTCCTGGAGGAAGTAGTAAGTAGCAATGCTAGATGTTCCTATTCCTAGGGTCCACCCACCAGAATTTCCCTGAGCCCTAAACGCCTGGTTCATAACACCTTCTGACATCTATGGGTAGCTCATTAAAGTCTGACAAAGAATATTAAGTTGATCTTATTTGATTTGTCTCAGTAAGGGCCCAACCAATTTAATACAAAGAATGAAGACAGGAAAAGGTGCAAGGGAAGGTAATTGCTAAATCGAGAAAAATACAAATTGTACAGCAAGAACAGAAGCCTGGTCAGAAGTCATCAGCTAGTTCAGATAAAGCAGCTCCCACCCCCACCACTTCTTACTCTACATGGGCCTCGAACCACCTTCAGGGATGAGCTTGTATTCCTCTTACAGATGCACCACTGTCTTCCACTAACACAGTTAGGAATGCAGACCGACGGGTGAATCCACTGTGACTATTTAGTGTCTATGGCTACGGAAACTCAATAAATAAACTCGCTTTTCTAACTCAATGAAGGACTTGTACTGTTTCTTCATAAAGCAAATGTGTTTCCTGAAAGAATGTATTACAATTACTTTTCTTTAAAATGATTTTGCATACATTTGGTTGATTCAGAATTCTATGTTGATTATTTTTCTTTTATAATCCTCATCCATGGGTGTGAGCTATAAGGGGGTCATATTTTTATTTTTTAATAATGAAACTTTGCATTTCCCGTATGATCTGAACATAAAATTTTGCAAAGCCACAACTAATATTTTTTCCTACCAGCAAAATTATATCATCTAAATGGGTGCAACCAAAAATAAACTGCTCTTGAATATATAAATAATATTCTCGTAGGAATTGACAGGTAATAACTATGGCTATTAGAAGTTTATGTTTGCCACAGGAACCTGTAATTTGAGAAAGCTGTTCAAACGAATTATGCATGAGGCTTATACGTAGCATTAATACATACATTTGTATCTATGAGTCTAAAGAGAAAAAACTAGGAAAAGAGCAAACTAAAAAACAACCCTGGATTATAAGCAATTACCTAGGTTTGTGCTGTAGTAAAAAAAAAAGTATAAAAATTATTTGGAAGGAAGAAAAACTACTTTTAAGCACTAATTCACAGGCAAAAGCCCTATTTTTTAAAAGCCCCATTTTTTATGATAGTAGGAGAAATCAATAATGTTTTTAAAGTAAAAAGTGAACTTCTTACACTAACCAGTCATACTCAGTATTAACTCTATCCCAAAGTGTATGCTACAGAAGGTAATAAAATGCTGATATTTCTAGTTTCTCATTTCAATCTGCTCCAGCTTTATCTTAAACTTTGCTAGCTACAGAAGTCATCCCCAACAATTACACAAATTTAACACCGGCTTCCCTGGGATAATCTGATCTGTTCAACCACAAATTCCAATCCACATACTTTCTTTTGTTATGGTTGTGTCTGTGTGTCTTTTGTATACTTCTTATAAAGCTTTGAAAAACAAGCTAGTAGTTTCTCATTCAGCTTTCTACCATGTTAACGGAACCACTATAAAACATTTTATACACGTAAAAATTATCTAGCTATCTACAGAGTATATCTTAGTTCAGCTTCAGATGACAATGAAGTATTGTTGCCATCATTATACATTTCTCCTTTTCAGGTGTTTTAACTGCTGTGTACCTGTCCCCTGAAGGATCATTTGCTGCCCCCTCTCAGCATTTGATGTTGGGGGCAGAAAATCTTGAAACACACCTGACTCAAGTGCTCTCTCAGCCATTGACCTGACACCAGAAGCTTGTTTTAATATGCTCATGCTGGCCCTTTATCACTTAACCAACCCCATAAAACACACAGGGCTACAAATACACTGAACAGCCTCCTTCAAAGTGCAGCTTGATTGTGATTCATGGCAAAAGGCTGTAGTAACCCTGCCAGGTCTAAGAAGGTTTAAGATAAATTGCACTGAACTTGATATATACAAAACAACACCTTGAAAATGAATCATCTACTAATTCATTATTTTCTAATTACAATCACTCCCTCTCGGGGCATGTAATTAATTTACTGAGCTAGAAAAAAAAAGTCAGGGTTACTCACACAGTCTTGAAGATGCAATGTCAGCTATTTAGGACAGAAACATCCAAGGCTGTGTTAGAACTCACTTACGACTACACACGCGTTAAAGCAGGAGCTGGCAGGCCTCTGGACTACGGCAACTATAGGACTTGTGCTTCTCCTACGCTGGGCTATAATTTATGAAACTCAGCCCCGGATCCAGCCAATCATTTAGCTCCTCATAACAAGTCTAACTGGCTCTGGAAAGCTGAAAGGGCTGCACTAGAACAACAAAAATGAGATAGTGCACACAGTAATCTGCTTATCTGGAATCACTTTCCCTCACGAGGCCAGAAAAACATCACAGCTTCATTGTCTGAGGGCAGGACAGGTGACCTGAGAAAATGCAACTACACCTGGAGCAAGACCTTTTCTGACTTGGCAATCCCAATCGGCCGGCATTAAAGGACTGAGCTAACCCTGGAAACCAAAAGGCAAATGACAGCAGTAAAAACCTCAGGTAATTTTCATCTTTTTGTTTTTAGTAGGAGTCATGCTGAGTCGAATTATATGCATTAAGTTGCTGGGGCAACTAGGTATGCTTCAATTTTATTTTATCATTTTCCACTTCAATCTTTTGTAAGATCATTTGTTATTAAGCATGAGTAGAGGAAGCTTTTAACATGCTTGAAATGAACTTGAAACCAACATGATCATTTGTGGAGGAAAAGAGATCATTTTCCAGAACTGTTTTAGAGCCACCTTTTCAGATGTACACCCTTCTCACCCACCCACAGAAACAGAAATTAAGGCGCTGAAGCAGAGAGGAAAGAAAAGGCTTTTCATGAGAACAATTAAATGTTTTTCATACCTTAAAGGACATAGCTACGCTCAGAAAAGAAATTGAGAATATAGGTTATTATCCAGGTCTTCTGGCCCTTGGAACCCAGGCCATATCAGAATGTACCCAAACGTACCACGTGGGATTGTTGGGGGGGGAGAGGTTGACATAAGGAGTTGACAAGAGCCCCCATGACCCAGTTTTTTTATTTGGTTTTGTTTTCTTGGCAATATTTTTAGTATTTTCCATCACATTTTAAAGTGTTACTTATACCAACCACTGTTGTATCATACTTCCAAATTTGTAGTTATTAAAGGATCTATGTAAGACATTTGTAAGTCAAAAGAGGTAACAAAAACAGAAAAGAAAAAACAACAATGAAAATTAACATACCCATAACCCAACACCACACCCTGAGCTCCTTGATGCACTTTACCCAATAACAAATCCTCTGGAATCCTCAGCAAATAAGTGTGTTTCTTCAACAAATTTTATAGGAAGCATAACACTAACAACAAAAAAAAATTGTAATAAACTTTTAAACTTTTAAATCGATCATTATACTTTCAAAGTGACAACAGAACCTTCGCAGTATTCAAATCATGTCATTTTTATGTGCTCCCAAAGGAAGAAGCTGGGAAGGGACACTTGCTTTGTTTAGTGATGAAATACAAAGAATAGTAACAGAAGAGACTTTTATGCACTTTTTATTTGCTGTAGATAATTGACTAAATCCAACTTGAGATTTGACACCAAAAAGAAAAACATAGCAGTACACAGGGAACAGAAAAAGTAACCCATCAACAGTTCCCCCAGGATTTGTCCTTTGAATTGCTCAGTTTGTGAGTAGCCAGGGGAGAATATTTCTGCTCTGTTTAAATACTTTTTTATTTAATTAAGCCTTTGTTTATTTGACAGTGCTGTTGCCTACGGTGACTATATGGGAATGGAAACTTCTAAGGAAACCAGGGTGTTAAAATTGTTGTTCCCTTTACTCAAAGATAACATGGATAATCTAGTCTGAAATGGAAATCAAACTCTTAAGGTAATATTGGCATTGAATTCTCAATACACAGAACTCCTTGTTTTTCATTCCCTTAATAAAATTCCATTAAAATCCCCTTGAACTCCCATGTTTGAATCTCCATTTGTCAGCAGACGAGGCTAAGAATACTTTAAGGCATTTAAGTCATTTCACATGTATTGTTGTCCAGAAATTTCTCACTGGAAGACTGCAACTCCCAAACAACTATGAAGACAACCACCCAAGACAATGGCCAGCAACCATGCGGCAGGTCTTTGAGTTAGAAGCTTTCATGACTTCTGTACAGTTTCTGCGTTAACATGTAGCTAGGTAGCAGACTGACCTCTGGCTCCTGCGCCCTGACAAACTTTAAATGTCCTACTGGACTCAACTTTAAGCTGTTCATCTCAAAACACATTCATGATAAAAAGCTTTGTGAACAATTAGCACTGCCTTCCCCTCCTATAATTATAATAATCATAATAGCCTGAGACATGTTACTATTACTTGGCAATATGAGGGGGATTTAGTTGTGTCTTTCCTGAAACTGTCACACTGCAGAAAAAAACCTCATTCTGAAACATAGCAAGTGATGTATGACCTTTCTGAGTGGATTAGGCTGCTTAGATTTGTTTTCAATGCCCTATTGAAAACAATGCAACAGAATATAATCATACTATAATCTTTTGCCTAACATCATTAAAGCAATGTATGAGTCTGCTTCTAGCAGGCATCACTGTCAATTCGGCAGGGTTTGTATTAGCAGGTTCTAGCCTGAGAGATTGCCGCCTGTCACCATCAAGTAATATTTGCTGGTTATCACATCAGGCATCAGGCACTGTCTAAGAAACTCTTGGTATACACTGAGCATCCAAACAGCTGAATTCAGTTTTTACTCATTTCCTTGATGTCAACCCCCAGACAAGAATTAAGATTATTCCGATAAAATAAAAGTAGCTCCGGAATGCAAACCTTTTGCTGAACCAAGAATTATCAGCCAATCTCAAGTATCAGAACAGCTATGGTTGACTGAAAAGTGTCTAGAAACCTGGCCCAAGAATGATTTGCAGGCCCATAAACTGATTTGTCTGGCCCTTGCAGTTTCTGTAGCCAAAGGAGTCACTCCTGAGAAAAGTGTAAGAAACATTCCCACCTACCTTATTAGCATGTCGAAGATCTGCAGGGTATTAACTCCATTCCAGGTGACAGGGATAAATAGCCCCATTATTTCCACTGTGCTGGACTCTGCCCACAGAAACCCCGGGCCGTGTGCGGTAGGGGCTGCTGACAGCTTCGGTGCTGACACTCAGAGCCAGCACCGTATGGTTTAAACCGAAAGAGAAATAGTTGCTTAGAAAAATGTCAGTGAGAAGGCCTGCCTCACTTTAACAAGGCAAAAAAATTTTTTTCCCATTTAAATAAAAGGCATGGGTACTAGAGATGTGAGTCTGTGGTCATTGTAGGGATCAAGTTCATGTTGTTGGTTCAGGTACATTTATCTGGGCACAGAGACCTCAAATGCAAATTTGTTCTCAGTACACGGAAGGAATTTCTGCTGGTTTTTGTTGTTTTTTAATTCACTCTCTCCGAAGAACATGAATTTATAAAAACATACTAATAATGGACTTGACAAGGCTCTAAAACATATTATACTTAAAATTAACATGAACCAGCAATCTTCTGCCCTCCTATATAGTAAAAATAATGAGACCTAATCGGAAGGGTCAGTTTTTCTATGACCTTACCCTTTGTCAAACTCTCTCAGAAGCTATATAACACACACATAATAACATGTACAAAAAACCCCAGCAATTACTTATATTTGATAATAAAAATAGCAAATATAAGTATTAGGGGGGTGCATTCCTAATATGTGAGGCTAAAACCACTCCTTTGCTTCAAGCAGAGTGTAAGCATTATAACAAAGAGATAGAGCATAAACTCCAAATCAGACTGCCTTGGGTTCGAATCCCAGCTCTGATCCTTGACTATGGCCTGTAAGCAAGTTACTTAAGAGCTCGATGCTGCTTCCTCACGTAAAATAGCACCACACGCAGTAACCACCTCCAGGGCTGGCACGAAGGTTAAATGCGCAGTGTGTGCTTCAAACTGAGCCTATTAGATGGTGGCTATTCATCAAGACAAAACTGTCATTATTATTATTATTAAGCTCATTTCAATAAATATACACAATATCCAAAATGGAGATGAATTACTGAACAGCCAGGTATGGTGAAATATATCTCTTAGCACCACAAATCTCATTTCAGGTAATATTTATAAGTAAGATCTTGTCTTAAGGCCTATGAGATATCAGCTCAAGGAGGTGAGTCAGCCACTGTTAATTGTCAGTCTTCTGCCTGGTTATCACTGGACACTTTTAACCCTGCCCTGCATTTATGGGATCATTCAGGGACTCTAACCTAGGACTGACACTGAAGGGGGACTGCAGGAGACCGGATCCATGTGGGAGTTGGTGCATAGTCCAGGCAAGTTCAAAGATTCCTGCATGAAAGCAAAATAATGATGATGATGATGATGGAAGCCATTAATCTTTAGTCACGCTACCCTAAACCAAAAAAGATTCAAAGAGGAAAAAAAAGAGCTACCTATCCTGAACAGCTGTGCTCATTATCCAAACTCATGAACCATATCTAGAATTCATGCTGACTTCTCAGCTTAAACATGAGAGAATACTGAAACTAATTATCTCCTTTCATCCCTGTGATGGGGATTTCTCAAAGCAAAAGAATATTAACTGAGGCTTCGGCTTTCTGAGAAAGTGCAGAGAAAAACAGCTTGGTGAGGCAACAGCCGCCCTGGGGAAGGCCTATGGACTTCCATATTCATTCATTCATTCATTCATTCATTCACTCCTGAATGGTCTTGCCCCTATCTTCCACACAAATGCCCACCAGCCACACCTAACCATTTATAGTTCCTGAGGGAGGCTGTGTTCTCATACGCCGCATTACTACAGATGCACCCCTCCAACTGCACGTTCTTCTCTGGCACCCACCATTAAGACCAAGGAAAATTCTCTTCTTCACAGTGAACCCCTTCTTACCCACCACCTATCCATGGAAAGTGGTTATTCATGTTGGGTAGATTATTGAATCAGTAACTCTGCATGAATTTAGCACCAAAAGACAAATAACAAGTTGGAAAATTGGGGACGTTTTCCGTTTAGCAAAAAAAAAATATTTTAAAAATGAAATTTGGGGCACTTTCTGCAAGATCTCAAATGAAATCAAATATTAAGGTTTAATAGTCTCTTAGACTCTTTCTTAGCTAGAGAATCATCTGTGGTCCTTCTCAACAAGTGGGTAAAGAAGTGCAAGGAAGCCCACCATGGTTGTTAGAAATTACTGCGTATGTGGAAGCTTCATGGGGAGCCTGCCAGGGAGCTGAATGAGCTAAGTCTCAGTGTTCTGATTCTCTTGTTCCTGGTAGAGGAATGAAAAGGAAGGAGGTCTCAGATTGGGAGTAGGAAAGTATCTTCCCTTCCCCCCTGTGCTGGTTCAGCTGCAGGGTTGGACATGAGGTCTCTCTCCAGGGGCCATTTGTGCCACTGAAGTCCTGTGGCACCACTGCAGTCCAGACCTGTGATTGAGGGGACAGTTGCTCAGTGCTGGACATTCACCAAAGAGGAGGAGGAGGATGGGTGGGCTAGAAATTTTTAGAAAATGGTGTGCTGGAGGGTTACCTTCAGAACTATGACAGTGGTCCAGTTTGTCTTTGGCCCTTCCCCCATTTCACCCCACCTCCCCCCAAAAAACAGTTTCCCTATGCTCCCCAGCTTCTTCCACCAAAGTGGCCCACAAAGGGGCCTGTCCTCTATCACATGAATCCTTTGTGTGCCAATACCCAAACAGCCTGGTTGAGCCAGTCTGTGCCAATATGATTAAATGTTCCTGTTATCTTCCAAGTGGCACCTCGTTTTAACAAGGACTTTCTAAAAATACAGCAGAACTAAATAAACAACCATGTGGAATAATTGAGGCCTCTTGGAAAAAAAACACGCAGAACACAGGCAGGGCTTTCCAGGCCCTGAGAACCACACCAGCACATCAGCTACCTTCTCCAGCAGGAGAGGGCCAGCCCTACATGCACAGCCCTGGAGCAAGAAGAACGCTAAGTGTTCACTCCTGCACGCAAGGCTGCCACGCGCAATTGGGCAGTACACAACCAACCACGCACACCAGCCCGCACTCCAGGCTCTCTGAGTCTTCACTCTCTATAACCAGGGTATAGACAGCATCGGTCTTTAAAGGATTTCTCACTTATTTAATCCTAGGAAAATACTTGTTACCTCAAAAGCAATTTGGCTATGGAGACACATTTGTAATCACCAGCAACTAAGAGCCGAAGGTTGCTCCATGTCTCAGAGTTCATAGGATTTTTTTTTACCTAAGAATTTAAGCACAAATCAGATGAGTAGAAGACTGTAGTTGAATCCTACAAGCCACATAAAATAATTCAGTGACTCTTGAACTTCATGTGCACCAGGATTACTAAAGCTGCTTGTCAAAATGGTAGGTCCCTATCTCCTACCACAGGATGCTGATCCTGTAGGTCTGGAATGAAGCCTAGGAATCTAGATTTTTCATCAGCACCTCTGCTGCTTGCAAAGGCAGTTTTGCATGGAATTCTCCTTGGGAAACATCGAGATAGTGCATGCAAACCACTTAACACAATGCCTAGCACATTAAAAGTGTTCAATACTTACTAGCTATAATTATTAAGAATCATTATCCACCCCAACTTTATATACTCTACTTAGACTTGACCTTTTGCTAAGTGCAAATTGCACATGGGTGTGGCAGTATGGTAGAAGGTCAGGCGCTGGTTTAGTGCAAAGAAAGGTTTAGTGTACTTCTCTAGAGAAGAGGAGTACAGGACAAAGTCAGCCCAACTTGTGTCCTAATGATCTGTGAGCCTTTGATGAAAATTCTTGAGCTCGTAGTACCACTCCCATTCCACAGTATCAACTGCTTTGAAAAGATAATGCAGAAATATTTGAAATAACTGCACACGGACCAGAAATTTCCAAAGTAATAACACTCAGAATACTGGCATTTTCATTTTTCTGCCATAGACGCCAAAGCAATACAAGGTTATTATTTGTTTTGTGAGCAAAGCAGGCCCCAAGTAATGTGGGAGATTTTTAAATGGCTGACTCCACTAACATTAGCACGATATAGACATAAATCCCAGACCTGATTGGCTGCTCTGCTACTGTGAGTCTTGGCTACTTTCCTCTGCTGATGATGTGAGGGCTCCACAGGTGGCTGGAACTAACAGTGTCCACTTACCACTTGGGATCATTCCTCATAATAAATAGAATGGCCCTTTGGGAAATCTTTTGTGTAATTTCCTTGCTCCTGAATATAGGACAAAGCTCTGTTGTTTAAGACCATAAGTAACAAAAGCTTTGTTCTTTCAAACCAAGAGGAAAACCATAGATCTATCCAAAATCACTTGATCTTAAAATGTGTAAGGATGACAAGAATGAAATATTATTTTAGGCTGCCCAACAGCATCAGTCACTCAATCTCCTCTGCTGGCTTCAGAAAACAATGACTCAATATGGCCTTTTTCTGACAGGCTGCAGCCTTAGAAAAATACTTTCCTGCATTTAAATCAATGGAAGCCATTCAAAGCCCACTTAGCTTTCTCTCTTTGAAGCCGGGGCATAGGAACACAGCTGTTTGTGTTCATATAATGAAAGGAAAGTAGAAACTGTGAATGATAAAAAAAATCAAAGTATTTTCTTACTCTAACCCAGGTGCTTGACATTTGTTTTATTGCTTGACTCCCTCAGTGACCTCTAAAAGGTTGGCTTTATTACCCCCTTTTTTACTGAGTAAGAGAAGTTAAATAAGTTTCCCTAAGGACACAGAATTGGTAAGTGGCAGAGCTGCAAGTTAAATAAGAAAGTAAAAGTAGTCTCAAATCCTACATGTTAAGATTCAAATAAAAAACCTCCCATATTTCTATGGACATAATTTCATATAAATGTGATCATTTCATTTTGTAATCTGCTTTGTATCACTAAATATTTCTCCACATCACATATATGTAAAACTCTGCATCATCAATTTTATCGGCAACACAGGATTTCTTGGAAGGTATTTACCATAATTGACTCTGCCAGTCCCCTATTGATGAGCACGGAAGTTATTTTCAGTTTTCCCTATAAATATGCTTTTGCAAACATTTTTTATTATTTCATTGTTCAGTTACAGTTGTCTGTGTTTACTCCCCACCACTCCCCTCCACCCCAGCCAAACCCTCTTCCCTTGGTTTTGTCCATGTGTCCTTTATAGTTGTTCTTGAAAACGCTTTGCATATAGTTCTCTCCTTAGGGTAAGTCTAGACTGAAAATTGCAAAGATACTACACATTTTACATTTTAGTACACATCACCCAACTGCCAGGTAAGCTACATGATGTGCTCATTTCTTCATACTCACAGGCATATCCAGTTGAATCAACCATTTATATTTCTGCAAAAATGATACAGGAAAATGATATCATCATTTTTATTTCTCTTTACTTCATCATTAGGTGAGTAAGACATCTGTGTGTTGTCCATTTGCAATTTTTCCAGAAATTAATTATCCCTATTCTTTTTCTACTTTTCTATTAGAATCTGATTCCAAAACCCATTGCAAATGCTTTCTCCTGACTCTTGCTGCTTTCTCCTCTGTAAGGATGTATCAGAGACTTTGATGTCTAGCCAAGAAAAGTTTGGCAACATATTGCCAGGGTGATTACTCAAGTTCCATAAAACATGCTCCAAGAAGAAAAACTAGTTAAGTCTAAAGAATAGAAGGCTATAAACTTCTCCTCAATTATCTGCTTCAGAAATAGGCCATCCTCTGACTTTACCAGCAATTGCTTATGTTACAAGAAACAATGATCCATTCAAATTTAATCTTACTCTTTTACATTGAGAAATTTGGATAGTGGAAGAAGGAGCAAGAACAGTTTATAGGAACATCCCTAGAAGCAAGGGTGAATTGGAGGGAGGACCCTAACATGCACATGCACACACACACACACACACACACACACACACAATTTGCATGCCCTGAGCAGTGACCACAGACTCATAGATTGTGCTAAGATGCAGGTTAAAGATGCTCTCACCCCAAGGAAACTGTGGCCCACAGACATAAAGTGACTTGGCTGAAATCAAGTGGCCAGTGACAATCCCTAAGTTCCCTAAGCAGAGTTCATTCCACTAGAGGTCACTAACCAGAAGTAAAACACAGCCTAAAATGAGTCCCCAGTGCTTAAAACACTGATCCTGCCTCCCACAGTTCCCAGATCATGTTGAAAGACATTATGACAAGAGTACCCTCATGCCTGGCCCAGGGGCATGTGCACAGGGAGCCTGGACCACATGCTTGGCCAGTACCTTGGCTGTTAGTGTTGGGCAGCATCCTGACTGGCCATGGCCAGAGGGCTACAGGGACATTGTGAGGCTGCCCTCTCTTTTCTGTACTCAAGAAATAATATAACTAAATCTCAATGGCAAAATAGGGCCACTTTCCAGCTTTTGTGGTAACCGGCTTTCTTATAGAAAATATTTGTATAATTAGCTTAGTTTATTCATTCCTATCTGTCCAGATTTAGCCAAATGCAGGCTCTGGACCAAAGTAAGCCAAGCCTGGACATTACTATTCTCCCAGATGTGCTTCTGCCTTATCCCAACAGGGACCCAAAGGTGACCAAAGTGTCTGACAGGCAAACTTCTCACCAGTAGAAAAATGAATGGGTCAGTGGCCTCACATTCATTCCATTGAAATGACCAAAGACAAGCAGCCAACCAGCTCACCAGTGGCATTAGCATCTTCTCTATAGTACTCAGGCTGGTTCCATGATGAAGCTCCTACCAAACCAAAATAGAGACTATACAGGGTGTGGCAAAAGTAGGTTTACTGCTGTGAGTATGCAAAACAGAGTTTATTCTTGTATTATTATTAATCATTGAATTATTTTCCATATGAACAATTGTAAACCTACGTTTGCCCACTCTATATTCCACCCAATGCAGATGCCTGGTAAAGCACATGCTTAGAAAGGCAGCCTCCTCCAAATTTTCTCAATTCAAAAGCATTTTTTTAACTCTTTAGACGCCACATGGTCTAACAAAATAAATAGTTCACATTTAAACTTAAAGAATAGCTGGATGAGCAGACCCGTGAGAATGGCCTAGGATTTAATAGTAGTGACTGTCTCAGGCCGAGAGACACTCAGGCATTAGACTCACAACCACACTCCGAGATGGGGCTTTTTTTTTTATCTGCACTTGATGCACAAGGAAACAAAGGAAACAGTAAGAAACAGCTCATTTCTGGACTCAGCTGATACGTCTATGGAATTTCATGAACTTTCATTGTGCCTTTGAGCAGTTCTCCCCAAAGAATGGAGGAGTCTATCTCGAATGTTAATCTGTCTTGAAGGTTCATCCCTGGCTGCTGGACCAACTGGTTCCCTTTAGCTTCCTCCCTGGGAAATAGAAGTGAATGCTGGTGGCTGTCATTGGGAATAGGATGTTTCACACACACACACAAAATCCTCCAAAACGTAGTCCTTATTTAGGAGAGTTGTATAGATTCCCAGCCATCTTCACACAGGAACTGTGATACTCCTGAATCAAAGATAGACTCAAGTAAATTTTGGCAACACTTTGAATCATTAAAGACTCAAATAGTAAACAAAGAACCAGATGGGGGAAGTTATGTTGGTCCAGCACATTTGTGAACACATTAATTTTCAGCAGGGATTTTCTGATCCCTATGGTATATTTCTCTTATCTCCTTTCAAGTGTCCTATTGACTCACAAAGTTCCTAAGGTCTTAACTTTTTGGCTCTGGAGACTAGACTTCAATCACATTTTGTTTCTTGAAACATTCATTCAATTTGGATTAACAGGTTTGTTTTTACTCTTTTTTCCTTAAAAAAGAATCCAAAAGAAACTCATACATGATACCAAGGATGGAAGGGCCAACATTTGGAAATATTGAAGATTTAGTTATAATATACCTTACACAAGAAAACATTGAGAAAAATACCTAAATCCCTAGATTATTCAAAATGATATCAAACTTGGTACTATGCACCTACAAAAAAAATCAATAAATGCATGTTAATTAACTTATAGCCTTTAGAATAATAATAATGTACATTTACCAGAAACTTTGTTATTTTCAAAATGCTTTCACAAAAATACCATTTTAAATGAACCTCAGGGTCTCCTGGAGGACTGAGAAGGGGCTTTGTGAACATACACATGAAGCTTTACATCCCAGGTTTGCCTGTGTGACCTTGGGCAGGTCACCGAAGGCATCTGAGCCTTAGCTTTCTCAGCTATAAAACCTGAATGGTAACTATTCTTTCCTTGAACAGTTAATGAGAGACTTAAAGATAACATATGCCAAAGGCACAGCAGAGTATCTGACACATGGCGGGAATTTAGAAATGGAAATTATTTTTTATTATAAAGCAAGACTGATTGAATAAACCCCTGGGACAGTTGAGGCAACTAAGGCTGAAAACAATTAAATGATCTGACCCAGTTCCTACAGCTGCTAAGGGCCAGCGCTAGGACCAGAACCCAGAGCTTTCTGCTCTGTTTCAAAATCTGAAGGGTGAAAAGTAGAATTATTGCCAAAACAGGGGTGTTGATCTCTGAATCTTGAAAATAGATGATTCCACAGCAAATAAGGCAATTAAAGTAAAACTCTCTCTGTGTTAGTGTTGTCAATGGGAAGCAGATTAAATTTAGGAGAATCTCACTTCTCTTTTCGACATAGACAAAACTTTCTAACAATCTAATGAGTTTCATCTTTACCATCGCCAGTATTTTTCTTCCAATCTGCTTTCAAAAATTAACTAAACTCATCCCAAACAGCTAGAGAAGTTTATTGTGATGGAATGCAGCATAGTTCAAGATCTAAAATGCAAAGCAGGTGCTGGAATGATATCAAAAAAAGCGTACGCTTGGGGAAGTCTGGGCACAGGAAACATCTGAAATGAATACAGATAAACAGTATTTTAGTCATACTCATTGGGGACATCTTCTGAATCCTGGAGACCTGGTGTTGGGGGTTCACTTGGCAAACTATAACTTAAATGATGATCATGTCAATAAAATGAAGTCAGAGTCCCAAATGTGGTATTAATCAAAAGAGCTCTGATCATACTGAACATCAGCGTCATAGGAACTGGAAAGTTAAAGAGCTCGCAAGAGATAGAGAAAACGTGGGTAGAGACGTTGAAAGGCAATACCAAGATTTCCTTGAAGATCTTGGACAAGATGAGGCAATTAGAAAAAAATGTAATCACTTACAGAGATTCAACCATCCCTGTGGAAAGTGAAGCAGATGATGAAGGAGCACCTCAAATTAATCTGGCTGAAATACTTGAAGACCTTCACATTTCTCAAGACACTACAGGTGAATGAAGAAGGTGACTTGACAACATAACGAGATCGTGCTGCAGATGGCTTCGTGTCTGTAGGCTCAGGATGCTGGACAAAATAAGCTTTTCTGTGCCTTCTACGCCTCCATATTCAGAAAGCAGTAATTTAGTTTTAAACCCAAATAAACATGACTATTGTGATTACTCACTCAAAAAAAATGTTTTCGCTAATCCTGACATTTCAGTTTGGGTCATCGGCCCTTCAGTTAATGAATATGATTCCGGAACAAAACAGAGCGCAGAGTGAGAGAAGCTTGCCATCTCAGGAATGCTGCTGGAGGCCCTCTTGCCTCAGTGTCATTTAAAATACACAGCTCATCCCTCCAAAGCAGGAATAAAGGTCACTTGAAGACCTGCTGTGGCCTCTGACATGTGACTAGCAGAAGTTTCCTATCCGCATTTTTTCAGTTCTGGAACATAGTTGGGATGTCTTCATCTTGAAACTTCTTCGTAAGTTATTACATTCAGCATTATTGACGATAATATGAAACCTACCACAGGTCTCAATGTGTCAAAGGTTCAGAAATGTTCTGAACTTTACAAAAAAGAACAAAAATTAGTAGTGCTTTCTGCAACAAGCCTCACACAGCTTTGGTGAAGTCACTGAAATAAATGACTAAAGTTCAATATCACTCAGAACTTTGTATTTTTGATGATGCACATAGAACATCTGGAGTGCAGTTAGCCACACTAGTACCAATATAAATCCTAGTGAATGAACACGGGAGAAAGTGTTGGAGAACCCAGGTCACTGCCTCCCTCACTAGCTGGTAGAAAACAAGTGAAACATGCGGTGCTCTATCGTCAGCATACTCTGCCTGTGAAAAGGTCCCCAGTGTTGTAAATAACTATTTAGTACTACCTAATGTGTAATTTAGCCAACTATTCCAAGTTATTAGAAAATTCTCCTTTTTTTGTTCTTGGCTTTTTTGCTTTGCCTTTCTTTTGTCCTTTGTTGTTTTTTTTTCTTTTTTCCTCTCTCTCTGCACTGCTTTAATATTCCTTGCATTTATTTCTATTCCTTCCTTTACCCCTCTGTTCCTTATTACATGAAAGTGCTTTCAAAAGAATCAAGAGCTAAACAAATGGAAAACTATTGTATCATAATTACTCTTATTGTCTTTACTATTTATATCAAGACTTTATTAAATGTCACTCACTATTGTATCTATATCTTATTCCTCCAGCTTTTATCTTATCTGGTCTTTACAGATTTTTCAGAATATGCCACATCGATATTAATAATAGAAGCAAAGTCAAATATCTTTCTATCTTTCTATCTATCTTTCTATCTTATTTTTTTTCTTATTCTGGAAATCCAATGAATTAGGCAGCATTGGTTAAACACCATCTGCAAGCACAATCCTTGCACTGTAATCGTAGAGGAAATTCCAAAAATAAGAAAGACAGGTTACTGGACTTTAGTAAGCTTACAGCTTAGAGAGAGTGGCAAGCTACACAATGAGTACCTTAGGGGGACATCTGTAAGATGTGCGGACAACTAGAGTTCAGACAGAGGAGCAAGTTTGAGTTAGCCAGGTAGGGGTAACTGCGTAAGGTTTTTGAAGGTGATTTCAAAAAGGGAAAGAAAGAGATGATAAATCTTGGGGGGAAAAAGAGTATTTCTTTTCTTCCACCCACCAATGTTATTAAACCCTTTTCTATAGCTTTTTGCAGTCTCCTAGGGACTATTCAGTTTTCTGATGCCTTTCCTTCTTCTGTTCTGAATATATCATCAAAAGCTATTTTGGAACTTAAGAAAGATCTAATATGTCTATCTTTATACTGTTTTTTTTTGGGTGTGTGTGTGTGTGTGTGTGTGTTTTACTTCCATGATCTTGCATATCGTTTTTGTATAACCACAGCGTGCTTCTCTAGTTCTTTCAAATTTTCAGGTCTTTTTCAGTGTTTATTTTTAGCATGACATGTAAAAGCCAGCATTTTTTGAAAAGCAGCTGGGTGGCACTGCCATCGGAGGTATGTGGTGCAGCACAGCAGCCCGGAGACTTTACTGTGCCCCTCACCAATGCTCTCCACCGCCCCTCAGTTTCGTTTCCTCTGCAAAAAAAAATCAAGTGAAAAAAACAGCCTCCTTCACACTGAAATGGGGGTACCAGCCCAAAAGGGTCTAAATTCAGTCTGAATCTGGTAGATGACTTCAGTAAGCTCCAAGCCTGGAATGTAATTGTTTCCACCACCTTTTCCAACAGGCTGCACCTTCTTTTTCAAATTTATTGGACATTAAACTTGATGCAGTAACATTTACTTGAAAATGAAAATTCATCCTGGGAAGAAAGAAAGGGAGTATGCTTTTAAATGAGAAGCCAGACTTCTAATACCGCAAGAGTTTTTGTCTAGTTGTGTTCTTGCTACCAAATAGGGTTTGAAACATGGGCTACCGATAGGAGAGCACCCTTGAACCTGTCCTCCCCACCCAAAAGTATGAACTCTATCACATCTGCTGGTAGGAAACACATTTTGTTCCAAAATAAAAAATGTAATGTCAAATTCAAATATCTGAATGGAATTATATAAATCTTACATTCACACAAATGTGTGCTTGATTGATCATCCCTGAAATCTAGCATCTCTTGTGAAGGGGGCATTTGCCAACTGGGAGGAGAAAAATGGAAGAAGGTACTATAAGATGGGAGACTGAGGCAGCAAGATAAAAAGATCACCTTTTTCACATTATTTCCCAAGGCCAGTCATAGCAAGGGCCCATTATGGCATTAGCATTATACGCCACCGTCCACTCACAACAGGATCTTGTACAATTTGCATGCTTGTTTCCAATCACGTAACTTAACAAAATCGATTGTTCGCCCATCTAACTTAGGATTTAAAAAAAAATAAATGCTGGGGTAAAGCATCTATCTCACTGGCTAGCCCTTCCTCTATTCAGGTCAGTCTTCTGAATGGGAGTGAAGAGCTCTCAGCCCCGGGCAGCACGGCAAGGCACATTTTTCTCCACCAGGAGACACTGAGCTGAGCACTCTATAATACAGCCGTGGGTGTTTGCACATCGACACATTTCCCTGGTTCTTTTCATCATCGGCTTGATTTATCAGGCAAATGTTCAAAGCTCAATGCTGATGGCTCTACCCTGAAGCCAACTACAAAGCCAGACCTTAGATTTATAGAAATGAAATAAGCATAGTACTTCTGTGACAAATATCTACTCTGAATTTCAATTTACATGTAGAAATGTTCATCCTATAAATCCTCACCTTGATTTTTGACTTGGTTAGAACATCTTCCGATTTGGTCCTGAGCTCCTTCCTCGAGGTGTCATTTTAATTCAGCCTTGCATTCAGACATATATAAATCATTTTCCACTGTCTTGTCTAACATATGTAACTCTTTGCTAGTTGCCAGGCTTTGGGAGAGATTGAAAGTCAGCTTGCCTAGCTCGGAAATAGCCTGGCAGCATCTGGAGAGGCCACAGAGCCAATCCAATTTGCATCATCTTCATCGAAGCTTTCAGAGTATGGACACCAGCCCACTGGTGCCAGAGTGGATTAGAGCACCTCCCTCCTGCGCATAGAGTCTGAGCCCAGGTGCCAAACTCTGATAGTCTCTAAGCCAAGACAGGCCAACAGGCTGTGAACACTACTGGAGCGCCTGCTTCTGTGGAGCAGACAGGAAATGACCCTCCGCCTGACCTGGAAGAACAGAATGTACATTCACACACATATGCACACACTCTTGCACATATGCACACTCATGTGTATCTCTGTGCACACACATACACACTTGCTCCTGAGATAGTGGGGAAATACTTGTGAAATATGGAAAAGAATAAAAATATTTAAATCAACACAAAAATACTACCAAGGCTCTGAGGTTTGGAAGGGATTATTCCATAAACACTTCTACCTTCTGAAATTAAAATAAAAGAGTAAAGAGATAAGGAAAATGGGAGAAAGGGGGATGATTCCCCAACAGGTAAGAGGAGAAAAAGGCTAATTGTGCCAAAGAAAAGTAGGCAGAATTTAAATTTCAAAAGAAAAAAAGACGAGTGAAAGAACAAAAAGGCGAGGAGAGAGGCCAGAGTTGGACAGGACCTGAGTACAAAGGTCTGAGCTGAAATGACACCGACACCGTGGGAAGAAAAGGGGCTGTAACTGATACGCGTGAAATAGCTGAGTTTGCATTTTACCTTTCAGCCAGAACAAGTGATGAGACATTTTGAAATGTAGGAACTAAGAAAAAAGGACAGGACTTCCCTTTAGTAATTCACGGTTTCGAGTAAGACAAAATGTAACTTAACACTTTTTTTCTAGTTATAAAAATATATAGTCATTTAAAAAATTGAAAAACATTTTTAAAAGAGTAAAGTAGAAAAAGAAACGCCTACAGTCCCACTATTAAGAGACAACCCTTGTTCACGTAGATGCTCTTGAGTCACAGGGTCACAGGGTCACAACTCGGGACTGCGGTGCGCTTGTGCTGGTTTTTTTACACCGCGTCTCACCACAGACGGTCTTTCACTATATTTAACCACTAAAAAACTTTCAGACATTCGCTTTGATTCTTTTTATAATCTAAACAATAATGCTGTACATATTTTCATACATAATTTTTGTCCTAGTTTCTAATTATTTCCTTAGAATAAACTGGTTTTTTTTTAAAGATTTTATTTATTTTTAGATAAAGGGAAAGGGAGGGAGAAAGAGAGGAAGAGAAACATTGATGCGTGGGAGAAACATCGATTGGGTGCCTCTCACACACCCGCAACCAGCAGCCTGGCTCGCAACACAGACATATGTTCGATTCCAGGCCCTGACCTGGAATCAAAGCCACACAATGCACTGAGGCACACCAGCCAGGGCTCCTTAGAATAGATTGTTGAAGGGCAAATTTGGTACTTGGCTCAAGAGGTGACAAATATCTTTTATAGAAATTTTGTACTAATTTATAGTGCCACTGACAGTATAGACAGGTTTGTTTCACCACCCCCTCGCCAATAAAGAGCATTTCCTGTAAGAAAAAAAATCCTGTACTAAATTGACAGAGGTACAAACTATAACATCAAAGGCACTGTTAACCCTAATCCAGTTTAGTATCCACTATCTATTTACAATCAACTGCTGAAGATGCACAGAATACTTATACTTTTTAGAATCATGAGCTTCCTTGAGAACCAGATGAAATCAGCAAGCCCCTTGGAACTCCTCAGACCGACTCAAACAACCTCAGACCGACTACTACTCATCAGGCCTGAGTGGAATTTCTGAACGTGAGCTTATTTGTAATCCTAGGCCCCAGTACTTAGTTTGAGCATATAGAGCACAAGATTTAGTGGGAAAGGACTCAGCATGAGCCATGGGACTTGGTTTCTGATTCTAGCTCAGCCTCTAAACACACATAGGTCTTTATCACAGGCCTCTGGAATCCCCTCCACCTGTAAAATCCTGGAGCTCTCGGACAGTGTCGACCTTTACTGGCATGATGTAGGTAACTGCTCTGTGGACATTCCGTGGTTAAATTTCACACCTAGGCTGGGTTCTTTGACATATTCAATAACAAGTAGGACCTTCTCAATTCTCTCTTACATTGGTTCCAGGAATACAAATTAATGTCAATACTGTCGATTGCCTGTATCTCTTTGCATTTTATGGTAGATTGGGAGTTCCTTCAAGACACAAACTGTGTTTAATTCAACCCGCCTGAATTACTTGACATATTCACCAATAAATGTCTGCTAAAGTAAACCAACCTAAACAAAAGAATAGAGTGTCTTCCAAAATTAAGTAAACATAGTTTTGTTTTATTTGGCTTGACTATAATTCTACAAAATGTCTAAATATGCATAGTCATTTGCCATATTTTCAGCTTAAACAAAATGTTTATACAGTTCATTTCTAGTATTCACAGTAGGTATATTCTACTAGGTCACTGAGAACTCAGAATTAGTGAATTTATTGCTCCTGGGGAAACACAAGGTGAGGTTCCTATGAACCTCTAGTTGCAACACTTTTATCAACCAAATGATGCATAATCTTGTAGTATGTGTATTTCTGTTTAAAGATACCTAATTTAATATATATTGTCAATTCATTAATATTGAACTC